TTTGTATTTTGGTTTACATACTCAGCTGTACTTTGTGTTTAATGCTAATTAGCAAATGTTAGCATGCTCACACACTAAACTAAGATTATGGTAAGCATTCACTTGCCAGCATGTTAGCATTTTCACTGTACATTTGCATGCTGGCGTTAGCATTTAGCTCAAAGCACCGCTGCTCCTACATCCAGCCTCACAGAGCTGCTGGAGACACTAAAGTCTTGTTACAACTATTCACAATCAGCCAAACTGTCCTTGAGCCAGACACTGAATCCCTGTCATGGTGTGCTTTTCTGTATTTGATACTAACCTCTGACAGAGAGAAGACAATTTTCCAACAGACATCAGAAAGATATACTCTGTAGTAATCGTATCTACACATATTATGTGCATAGACAGGATAAGCTCTGGAAAAAGCCTGACCTAGTAAGTGGGCTGTGAGTTGGCTGCTTTAGTTGTGTTGTCAACTCTTTTGTGTTATTTTTTGCCTAATAAAGGCAGAACTGATAAAAATAACAACTAAACATAAAAAACAACATTTACTGTTAGATAATTATTCGACAAGTGTACTCCTAGTTGTTCCAACTTTTAAAAAATGAGTTTGATAGAGCAGGCAGTATCACCCTGCCAGGAGCTGACAGGCTTTAGTGAAGTCTATACTTTGGCCCATTGGGGGTTTTTTAGTCGTGTGTGTGTGTGTGTGTGTGTTTGTTTTTTTAAAGCAGTGGTAGGATTGGACAGTCAGTGCTACAGCACACCTCATTATGTGATTCCTCTGTAGCATTTGTGTTGTATGAAGGCTAGGGGCAGGTACCCAAAAATAGATTGGCTAAGGTCACCATAAAACAGAGACAACCTGCTGGTCACACACACACACACACACACACACACACACACACACACTCCAGCCGAGCGAGTTTTGTTTGTTTTTCCCTCTTTCTCACACATTTCCTGTCATGAAATGCGTCATGCTTCCTGCTTCTCCCTCCAGTGGGGGCGACGAACCTGAGAAATCACTGCTGACTAACTCGCTGCAGGTACCTCCTCCTCCTCTCTGCTTGGGGTGAATGTGACTCTGTGATCACGAGATATTTCTCAGAGAGTTAATGAGTAGTATTTGCTAGTATCTAGCTGCACATTGATACTTTTTAACAAAGTGAAAGTGAACTGAATCGCTTCTAGCTCAGGGAAAGATGTTTAGCCCAACAGGACCTCTGAGATAGCATTAATTGCAATGACCTATCTTGTTATCTACACTTACTTCAGATTGGACAGGAGGGGATTTCTGGTGACATCTCTTTAGAATGGGGTCTCTGTTGTTTTCTGTACTATCTGGGGTCCCTGTCTGCTGGGACCAAGGACACTGCGATTGCCAAGCCAGCTGCGTCACATAACACACATACATGAACGCACCTTGTTCCTGTGCAAGTGATGCATCTTGCTGTTAGTTGTCATGATTCAGGACATTTATGAGGAAGAAAAATATGGTCTGCGTTTCTCTTTCCTCTCATACCAAATCCCATTTCCTCACGTGTTGCTGTTTTGCTATTTAGTCACTCACTTAGTGCTAAAAAATATTGGCGAGTCAAATTGCTCCCAGTCGTGGGCTCTTCCTGTAATTAGTCTTAAGCTTGCTGGTTGGCAGATGACCATAGTCAGCTGTGGTAAGAAGTTGGTCATCCCTTCCTTTCAGCTGCTGCTTCCCCTGCAACCCTTTGCAACATTTCTGGTCAAAGAGATCCGAATAATAACATGCACACTTTTATCTTTCCTTTTATTCTTTCTGTTACTCACCCGCTCACACACCATGAAACGCAACCTCTCTCTCACACTCAGCAGACATCATAAGACATTACCAGCATATCATTACCAGCTAATAAGGCGGTCGAAAAGCCGACTGAAAAGGCAGTCAGATTCATAACAACACAGCGGTTAGCATAGTTTTGTGATAATCGAACCGAGCAAGTTTCCATCGTGGAATAGAAATATCATTCCTTGGTCTGCCACTGTGGTTGGGGCCTGCGGAGCGCTCGTCACTTTTGGAGACATCAGCTGTTTGTTTGACTGTAGAACAGGACATGAATGGAAAGCAAAATACAGAAAGTTTGAAAAACAAGACGGACAAGCTGAGAGATGATTTTGTTTCCTGTGGAAGTTATGCCTAACGCACACATAGACAAACACATCTGTGGATTCTTAGTGTCGCTTGATCAATTCACACCGTGTTTGGTGGCAGGCAGAGTGTGTGTGTGTGTGTGTGTGTGTGTGTGTGTGTGTGTGTGTTTACATGGGTTTTCAACTGTAGTAATTATACTTATTAAAGTGTGTGTGACAGCGACAGGGAGGGAGCCTTTAAATTACATTATGTGGAAAAGGCAGAGAGCAGACCACGGGTGTATGTGTACACTTTCTAGACCATTACACATTAAATTGGGACCTCTGTCAAAGTATTTGTATCATGTCCTTGTACCCCCACTGACTAAAGGTTGGCCATTCTTAGAGAAATTGGTCTTTTTGTGGACATGAAAAGGCTCTAAATCTGGATTAAATGGATGTGTTGTTGTTTTGTTTATTCAGTAGAGGCCTGTGTGAGGGTAATGACAAGGCCACAGCATACTAAACGTGAGGTGGCTGTGGTTTCAGCAACCAGACGGTCGTCTTTGCTGTTTCTGGTAAAGTCTTTCTTTAAGATGAGTTTCTATGAATGGACACATACAACCATTTCTATAATTACCTTAAGTTATTGGTCTGAAGCTGGTGTTTTCTTTGTGAGTGACGAGGCAACCTTTTTCACACCTGATGTTTCAAGGTTTTACTGGGGGCTTTTCAGTTTCTCAGTAGTTACTCTTTTTAATAGATTTTCAAGAATAGCGTTATTGAACCAAGAATGATTAACCAAATGTACTTTATGTGTATGTCAGTGTATTAACCTTTAAGTGTTGACATTGACATCATGTAGATGCTTATTTTAAGACAGGATTTAACAGAGATGTTTTACCTGTATTCAAATATTCTCTAGGCTGGATACTGTGCGGATACTGTAGTGTAAAGTATCCATGGTTGGCTTTTTACTGTGGTCTTTTGTGTGTTTACTGTCTCTAGCAGGTGGAGCACAAGTCTTGTGTCATGTGCTTGGCTTGTTGACAGACACATACTTATATTTGTGTGTGGAAAATCCACCGATTTAACGCATGAAAGTGACTTTACAGGTGTTGGGGAGTACTGCATGAGGGGAAATAAGGTTTTTGTAAAACTTTGAGTTTTCCAGAGGGAGCTGTGTGAAATCTTTATACTGAGACTGCGTCAAATGATGTCCCTTGAGTCAGCGCCAGTTGAAGCTGCTGAAGACTAAAAGTTTGAAAATGAAACAAACCTTTGGTGTGGCGTGTGTGTGTGGAAAGATATAAGCTCCCCAGACCTCTGTAGCCCGCCGTTCATCTCTGCTCAGGGCTAGCACCTCGAAGTCTGCGGTCATGTTGCATTGTGGGTAACGTATGTGCCAGGATCTGACTAGGAATAAAGAACGATATCCCTGGTTCTGCTGCATTAAATTTTATCCCTTTTTCCAAACTGTTAATCATAAGTCTGACAGTGTTAAAGAAGTGCTTTGCTAAATCAATGGAGTACTCTTTTGAGAGCTCAAGAATTTGAAGACAGGTGTGTCTTGGCTAGAAGTGATTGTGATGATGTCACTGTCTCTTGAGAGTCTCACCTAGCGGGTTTCTGTCTTCCTGTAACGATCAAACAATCCGTCCTTTCTTTGCCTAGAAGACATTAAGTTTTTTTCTCACTCAGATCATCCTCTTTATTTTCACTTTCACTGTTTCCATAATAGTATTATTTTGCGCTCTCTCCTAAAACTCCCTAGAGGTCTGCTGCCTAAAGGCTTTTTGGTCGCTTAATGTTAGTGAATCATTATTTTCTGTGATGCAAATGTGTTTGTAATTTAAGCTAGACTATTTTAAACTCCTCTTTGGTTTGTCACATGGTTTAGATGAAAGCACATTATGTGACTGTGTGTGCATATCTTCGGGTTTTCAGTGCCTGAAAGCAAGTGTGTGTGTGTGTGTGTCCAAGTCTAAGCTGTCATGGTCGCTTTTGCTCTTTCTCTGTGCTGCTGATCTGCTGTTCAGGGATAAGAGGGAGAGAGGGAGATGTGGGGGGAAACAGGGTCACATGTTGAGGGAGAAGTGAAGAAAGACGGCTATAAAAAGACTAATTATAAATGTGCGGATAGATATGTTGGAGGTGAGGAGGAGGAGGGAGAGAAACAGGCTCACTGAGTGTGATGTAACCCTCGAGTGTTCTGTTGTAAATGATAAGAAGCAGTGGAGGTATGAGTAGCGGTGAAGAGTGGAGGGGTGTTTGGGGGTTGTAGAGAGAGGGAATTGTTTTTCTGTGAAATTAAGCTTGGAGAGAGAGGGGAAATAGATGAACAATGTGGGTCAGCAATGCTTTGAACTAAATAAAATAGAAGTAACCGTGTGTTGTAAAAAGTTTCACCGTCTTTGTCTCTAAACTTGCATTTGTCGGGCTGGTTTTTAGACTGTAAACATTAAGCCAACTGCCCTGTGAGCACCAGCTAAATAGTTAAAATACAGTTTTAAGCACAGTTAGACTTGAGATAAGATAATCCTCCATTGTTTACTGTGTCTCTGTTGTTCACACACTTTGTCTCTGCTGTGAAGAAGACAAAGATGTGAACAAGAAGAACAGTTGTGTGGGCTTTCAGTTGTCTTTTCTTCCTGCTGAGCTTGATGCAAGTCAGTGTAAGAAATTGCAGCTGTTTTGCCCGTTGTCCCTCTCTTTTTCTCCCCCCCCACTTTATCCCTTTCAAAGAATTTTCATTTGAATGAAAACCCTGCCTCAGTGTTTTGTTGTGCTCGGAGGGGGGAGGGGTCCAATTGGTCAGAATCCCTTTTGCGGTGGACCAATGCGAGCGCACCTCCCGCCTCCCACCCCGCCCCCTGTGCCTCGCTGAGGCTCCCGGCCTGACGTGTGATTGGCCGGCTGGGAGGAGCCAGACGTGGTAATAAAGCCTGTCCCGTCTGCTCCACTTCAGTGTTGAAGAGAGTTCCTGTCTATCAGCCGGAGAAGTGTGTGTGTGTGTGTGAGAGAGTGTGTGTGTGTGTGTATCAGTGTGTGTGGATGCTTTGTTAATGAGAGGCAAACAGAAAACAGAGAGCTCTGCCATTATCTGATCTGGACTCCCATCTCTTTTTAAACCCTCTCCAGGACTGTGGGACACTCCAGCTGATTTGCCGGCCTGCATTTTGTCTCAGATCACAGCTGGACAGGCGGACGGGCTTGACAGACGAGCTGGACAGAGATTGTGAAGGGGATCATAAAGGCTGTTGCCGGGTATCATTGCCGGCAGATCTACCAGACCTGCATTTTGGATAAAGAGCTCGGCTGCACTGTGGCTGACCGGTGACCCCGATCTGCAGCCTAACCATCTTCTGGGTCACCACTGAGCTAATAGAGGTGGTCTGGCCGGGCCTGATGTGGAATTTGACCCCGACTGACCCTGTACCACAAGTAGTTTTTCACTGAGCCTGGACTGGGAAAAAGGGAAGGATAAAAGAGCAAGAGGGGCGACAAACAAGAAAGGAAGAAGAAAAGGAGAGCAGTGAGAGCAGCAGCACAGCGACCGGTAAGGAAGTTAAAGGGGGCTCTGGGAGCGAGGGTGGGAGGAGGGGGAGGAGAGTGGGAAGAAAAGAGTACAAAAGAGCTATTTTCTTAAGCTTAGAGAGGACATGTGGGAGCTCTAAAAGGATGTTCGTTGACCATTAAAGCCCCAATTTCTGTCAACTCTCCTTCTGTCAGTTCTTGTCTTGTCTTGAGTGTTTGTCTGTAGTCTAACTTGTATCTCCTCATGTCCACAACATTTTGGTGCTATAAATCATATTTTATTACATTTAACATGAAAGATTCTCTTGCTTTACTCTCGGCTCTTTGCTTGTCTTTCCTTTTTTCAAAAACCTTTTGATTGATTAAAAAAAATTCTTTCTTTCTCAGCTCTTCCAGCATGCCGGTGGAGACCTTGCGGCCATCAGACGGGCGTCTGGCCGGGGTTCCCTTCACCTCTGCCATGCCCTTCAGGATACTTAACAAGGGTCCAGACTACTTTCGTCGCCAGGCTGAGCCCGGGGCCCGTAAACTGAGTGCTGTAGAACGTCTGGAGGCCGACAAGGCCAAGTATGTAAAGAGCCAGCAGGTGGCCCTCACCCGTCAGGCCCCCATCAAACCACCAATCATCCGCAAGCCCCTTGTTCCTCCGGGGATGATGCTCCAGTGCCAGATCAGCGCTCCTCCAGCCCGCAAAGTTCCCCGCTGCCCAGCTGATGTGGATAATGGTGGAGGGAGAGAGGGACCTGGAGGGAGAAGAGGTCCTGCTCTCAACTTGGATATTCTGAATAATCTTATCAATGATGTATGTGATGGACCAATGCCCTGTTCCCAGTCCTCTTCCTCCACCTCCCCCTCCTCATCATCTCCTTCGTCAGGAGCTAAGAGCATCGGCAGCAGCCTGTCAGCAGAACAGGAGAGGAGCAACCGACCCCTCAACAACCTCAAACCTTTGAATCACGGCACCATCAACTCGTCATCCACCTCCTCCTGCACTTCCTCTCCGCTCAACAACAACCCCCATGCCCCTGCAGCAGAACTTACTCGCCGCCCACCCCCTATACCGACAAGAGCACCCCGCATTGGGGTTCCAGGGCCCTATAGCTCCCCTAACTCAGTGACAGTGCGCAGGGTGGACGTTCGGCCTCAGGCTGACTTAAAGAAGCCTCAGAGGGCCCAGCTGCAGCCCCAGCTCAGGCCCAGACAGACTGCACAGGGCCAAGTGGCACACCCCCAGGTCCCACCTCCTCCACCCCCTCAGAACCAACCCCAACCCACCCCTCAGCTCAACACCCCCTCCCAAATCCTCCCCCCACCTCCAGCCTACCTGCCACCCAGCCCCATGCTGATCCGAGCAGGCATGATCCCGCCAGCCTCCCCCGCTTTCACCCGTATATCAAACGCCAGTTCCAAGGGGTCAGCCCGTAAGCACCCATCTTTGCACCGCTCCAAGTCGGACCTGAGCGACCGTTACTCCCGCGCCACAGCCGACCTGGAGCGCTTCTTCAACTACTGCGGGCTGGACCCAGATGAGGTGGAGGGCATGGGAGGAGTGGAGCGCTTTACAAGAGCCAATTCGGACATTGTATCCGTGTCCAAGCTCCGCAGCGTCAGTACGCCCAGCTCGGAGGCTGACCGGGTTAGGGAGGACGGAGGAGAGGAGGATGACGAGGACGGGCCAGCCAGAGCCAACGAACGGGTCCCCTACGGCATCTCCGTCATTGAGAGGAACGCTAGAGTCATAAAGTGGCTATACGGCATCCGTCAAGCGCGAGATGCTAATAACGCTGTCTCTAACGTATAGACTAATGAGGACTTGAAAGGTGACAAACAGGGAAGCAGTACTTTTTATGTGTATACATATGTCTGAAGAAGAGAAGCCCATGTGTTCATCTTCTGCTGCCTTACATCACATTTTAAGGATAATCTGGTAGTTGTTTTTACTGTTTCCTGTGACGACTCACACTTTTTTTGGAAATTACACAGCAGTGTTTTTTTATCCGGGCTGCAAGTCAGGACTGCTTCCCTGCAAGACTAAATGGACGATACATTTCTCTTTTCCTTCCCTTGATCTTGTAACAATATTGGTATATGAAAGCAATAATAGACTGGTATAAATGATGATGGTGAGAATGAAGGCAGAGGATGTTTGCAATTGTGGTTCCTCACGTAAAGGTACTGTGTGTGTGCGTGTGTGAGTGCGTACGTGTACCAGAGATCTGCGCAGGACAAAGCCAGACTCGAACTTTGCTACAAACTGCTGGAGAGTCTGATGCTACACAGTGCAGTGACTGTCGAGAGAGCCAGCAAGAGAACCACGTTGATACTGTGAAACTAAAAGGCTTCCATAAACACGTTTGTATTTTCAAAAAAACAAAACCTTTTGGCTGAAAGACTGTTATTATACAAATTTCTGTTAGCATGCGAGTGAAACGTTTGTACATTTATTTTAGGGTTTGTCATCTCAACGAAGCACACAAATTACACTCACACAGATAATCACTTCACGGCACACACGTACATTCAGGTCAATTACAGTGAATATGGTAGCAGCTGCAGTTAGTGCTGTCTGTGTATCTGGCTGTAACATTTGTCTAGTTGTGTGTTTGCATCTGAAACATGGTCTCATGTCTTGGATTATGCTGCACTGGTGCAGCGAGAGAAATCTGTTTACTATGTATGTCTTTGGCACAGATGAGAGAGCAAGTCATATGAGAAGGGATGATCTCATAAGTGGATGGTTGAAGCAAGTGTAGCATGTAAAAGTTATTTTGCCTCCAGAGAGACGGAGAGAGAAAATCAAAGGATGGGCAAAAGGATGACTGAGAAGAGTATACTCATGGATAGAAAAATCTATGCTGTATAAATATGTCTGCGGTTCTGAAGGTGTCTCAGGAAGATGTACTTGGCATACTAACAGAAATGGACCAATATTTATTTGGAAGATGTAACTTAATGTATTTTTTAATATTGGACAACATTGTGTACAGAATCCAGTCTTTGCTCTTAAGTGCAATCTGATAATATCTACTACAATTACAGTAAATGTAGGATCACATTTAAACACACATGCAAATACATGCACCGGTCACATGATAAGTGTGAATTTTGTAAACCTGGGGGCTGCTACGAGTAACGTGTGCCCTGCTGCTCTGTGGGGAGCACTAAAGAGACTGTAGTGTATTTATTTGACTTCCTGTACAAGTTCTCCACCCTCTGCATCTACTTCCTTTAACGTTTCAGGATATTCAGTATGAGCAACAGCCAGGTTTTCCTCTTTGTACACGTACCTATCATAGGTAGATGAAGAGCAGCGCACAGCGGCAGTCAGATCAGAGGGCTGGAGAATGCAACAGCAGCGACCGTGAACAAAGTGTGCTGTTGAATCCGGCACTGGATGCCCAAAGAGTCTTCAAGTGAGATCCAAAATGCTTTACCATGGTGTATTCTAAACAATTAATAAAAATGTTGAAGTACATTCTTGTTCTCTGTTTTTCTTATTTTTCTGGTCTTTGAATTTGGCTGTAAATATGGTGATTGGACCCACCTGGTTCCAGCATATGGCTGCAAACAGCCACTCCCCTTATTTCTTCAGTGTTTTGAGAGTTGATGCATCGCTGCTGCCAAATCCTTGGTTTATAATGTGAAATCTGGTGCGGGTCCAGTTCAGCAGAGGCAGGTGTTTGGCCCGTTTCAGCATCAATAATTGACACAGAGCACTTTCACTGAGCTCCCTTGGATGGTTTTTGTTTACTTTGATCGCATTTGAGTCGGACCGCTACATTATTTAGATGGCAAAATGTGGACACGCAAGCTCTCACTCTACTCTTGGACGTAGTTTCTCATTTAGTCGTTTGCATGAAATTGCACAGGTTGTAATATGACCGTGGGCCCACTGACTGCAGTCGGGAAGTCTTTTGGATGGCAAACACGGAAATTTATTAAGAATATTAGAGGAATTCTCCATTAAAAATCTTTTTACCTCCTGTAGGTTTGAAAGTTGAGTTTGTAGGTTACAGATACAGATGAAAACAGGTTTGATGGCAGAGATGTAGATTATGCTGCAGGAGAGGTTTCTTTGGATGTGACTCTGGGTCACTTTTGGATTTCATTGTAACTGTTTTGAATCCAAACTGATTATCTAAATGCAACTTGATAACTTCTTCAGTGAGACCCTACAAGCCTGGTAAACACTAACATCCTTTCAACTCAAGACTACTAAACCACCCTGCGTGTCTCAATAGTCTACGATCCAATTCACCATCACCACCAAGTTTTCCTCCTTGTGCTTATTGTCCCTGCACAGGATAGCTCCCAGGATCAAATGCCACTTCTGATATTTGAAGGCTTCCGCCGCACATGTCAGAAATCCCAGTCCCTTCACATAATGACATCATCGCGTGCATGATCTCCTCCAGAACGTGGCCTTGATTTACTGAGCTCTCAATTTACGGGTTTTGAGGATGTGGATGGCTAGAGGATTGGAGAAGTGTGATGGAGTGGAGCCCGCTGTTGCAAATGATAAATATTGCTGCCTGGAGCCTAGGGCTGGGCATCTTGACAGCAGCCGCCTGATGTCCCAGGCAACTCTGATTAACAGCCAGCAACACTGAGGGGGGAGAGAGAGAGAGAAAAACAGACAGATCGCAGCAGTTTAAAGGCTCGAATATGGAACGGGACGAGAGAGGAAGTTGGTAGAAGGTAGAAATGGGAGGAACAGAGAGATTCTGGGGATAACTAGACAGATGCTGTGAGAGTAAAAGTGAGTTTATGCTAATCGGTACACAATGTGTCAGCTTTTATTAGCAAATAACCTCTTGGAGGTCTGAGAGCAGCTGTGCATCTCTGGGACTTTAATGTCCAATAAGTGAGATCAGCAGCTCTGCATTGGTAGGATACTGACTATCAATTTACATTGAAATTAAATCAGAAAATGTTTTACCACTAATACAGTGTCACTGGCAAATGGCTTTAGTCTAGTCTTTTAGTAAATATGTATCACTTTAGTTATTTAATTATTGTTAATTTTTACTGTAGTTTTAGTCAAAACACTTTGTTTTAGATTTAGTCTTACTTTTGCTGTACACAAGTGCCTCTTAAAAACAAAAGAATTTCAATGAGCTGCTCACTCACTGTTCTTGTTAGCATTATTGCAACTAGCTGCGTTCTCCAGATCAATCAGAACTGGTATTAGAAGGTGTTTCGCTGCAGGCATTATAGATTAATTTACTCCATACATGTAATCCTTTATGCATGCAGGTAGTTGAATAAAACAAAATATATTTTCTAATACATTTTGTCACAGTCCTAGATTTCAAAAGTTACTTTTAATTTAGTTAAATTAATCAGTATTTGTTTTAGTTAGTGTAGTATTGATGATATTAACACTGAAGTGATGAAAAATGATTGGCTCTGGATCATACGTTGGTACCAATCAATGACATATACGTAGATATGTCCTTCGTTGAGAAAATTGTATTGTTGACAGAAACAGATAAAGAGAAGCAGAGTCGTCTCCGTCCAGGATCGACCAGTTGCTCTGGTATGGTACGCGTCTTCACAACTAGGCCACTGACATCCAGAGAAAATGCTAATATTTTACCTGACTGGATTCTCTGTGGTGCTGAAATGTTGAAAAGTGAATTGTGTTTCCTAACAATTAAACATCTTTATTGTTAACTTCAAAGTGTGACTCAAGCTTGAGAAAAGCAAAATAAAAATCAAGGGTTTTGATGCAGATATGAAAGAAAGACAGAGATCCCAGATTGACTGTAGCTCCTAGGTTTTGTTCCAAGCTGTCACAGTTTTTTGTTTTGACCAACTCACTACATGATGTACACATTACACATCACCTTACATAAGTAACTAGTCAGTCCGGCATTGCATTTCCCTTGTTGAAATCGCTTAACAGTCTCATCGTTACATAACCAAGAGTGGCCACCTCTGACCTGCTCCCCGGGGTGATGAGAGGAGTCAAAAAGGCTAAATGCTTCAGCTTTGGGAAAGGAACACATGTCGTGGGAGGATAAGATGTGTCTGCCTGCCGCGGTCTCCCTGTGGACAGATGAGGAAAACGCGCCAAGAACCATCTCTGTGTCATCCTCATACTCTGTCTCTCCCCACAGAGGCTGACCATATGTCCATATTTACTGAGAGATCAGCTGGGTTTTGGCGCCCAGTCAGGACACACACACACACACACACACACACACACACACAGTTTGTCTTTGCCTGTGCATGCTCTGTTGCGTGTCTCGGTCGTGTTTGTGTTCTTTTTTCAAGCAGTAAGTCCTCTGCTTCGAGTTTGTGTGCATGTTTAATGATTTTTGTGAGACTTGCAGAGGATGTTTCCAATCTTTGTGGGATGAAAACGTGTATGGCAGTGTGTTTCCTTTGCATGCATGCATACTTATGTCCGAATTTGTGTTTGTGTGCATGTTTGGCGTGTGTTGTCAGTTTCACTGTGACGGGGGGTGCTCAGTTAGGAACTGTATATTGCTTGATCCCAGTTGTACCGCTAATGTATGTCAAAGCTTGATATAGTCGTTCTGAACAGCCTCTGTGCACGGAGTGATAAGCTGATTAAGGCGCCGGGGCAGATGGGATCTCTGTGTTTTTGACTGTATTTGTGTGTGTGTGTGTGTGTGTCTTTCACTGGGACCTACCGTATATCCCACGGGAAAACAAAACTGGGTTGTCTGTGTTAGCTTAACGTGTTGTTGCAGAGCGCTGCGTTGCTTCGCTTATCTCTCTCGGTCTCTATCTGTTCATCTGAATCATATCAGCTTTTGGACGCTGCCTGCTGCCTAAACGCACCGCAAACTCTGTTTATTTATACTCCTCTATACAATTGGACACCACCCAGCCCGCCTTAGACAGGATCAAATGGCAAATACCCTCAATCTTAATTCAGGCTTTTAAATGTGTCTGGTGACAGTGAAGCCATTCACATTCATAGATTCATGTGTAAAAAAGGTAAAATAATCCATCTGAGTTTTGTTGTGAAATGTCAAAACTCATCTGCAGCAATTAAAACTAACATAATGATAGGTTTGATTTCCTGTACAGATGAGTCTTTGGGGTTTTTCTGGGCTGCAGTGGTGATGTGTTGGTCCAAGCGTGTGGACCAGTGAATTGGAGAGCGTACTGTCTTTGTCTTTGTCTTCTTTCCAACTCTGCAGCCTGCAGGGAGACACTATTTTGTGTTTTTCAAGGCAAAGCAATGCTTCTTTGCTGATGTCGGTAGAAAATAACAATGAAATTATGTTTCCATCCCTTCTAAGCTAAGCTTTTGCTGACACTAAAATTGACGCTGTGGTTCAGACCATCGAGCACACTAAACGGACAAATCAACAAACCACTGAGTTGTTTACAGTCGTTGAAGCCTTCCACCTTTACTCTTGATGAAGCATGGTGTTAGTTCAAGCAGAGCACAGGCAGACACTTGTATTACTGTAGGTGATTGGCATCAGGTGTTTCAGTCATGCTTCACAATCACTGGCTCACTCACCGACTGTGTCAGCTGACTGGTCATGTCCAGTCAAATCCATGGAGGTGCACAGTGCGGCCTCCTACAATTCTGCTATTTCTAATTGAAGCAAGATTCGCGTTCATTTACGTATTTATTAATCCTCATTGCTTCTTGGATTCTTGGAGAGCGCCCTCAAACAGCAGAGCCATTCCCTCCGAATCTAACTACCCATGTGCTTCGAATGACTAATGTCAACATTATTATAAAACCTTTCTCTGATTGATTTCAAAGATGACCGTTGTTTTTAGCCATGCTAGCTGCGTGGCTCTAATAATGGCAGTGTCGGTCCGTCACCACTTTGGTCCAAATTAAACTATCTCAAACACTATTGGGCGGATTGCTATAAAACTTTGTGAAGAAAGCTCATGTTTCACCAACAATATATCCTACTGACTTTGGTAATCCCCTGACTTTTCATGTGGCGCCAATGTAAGGTCAGATATTTCGCTTTATTACCAAATACCTACATTTCCATCAGCCTCAGCTGTACTTTGTGTTTAAGGCTAATTAGCAAATATTAACATGCCATCACAAAAACTTCTGGTGATGAACAGGGTACACATTATACTTACTTAGCATCGGCATGTTAACGTTGAGCATGCTGATGCTAACTCGCCGTGCCTAATTACAGCCTCACAGAGCTGCTAGCATGGCTGTATAGACTTTTAATCATGTTATCTTCTTTCTTTGTTTTGTTTTTTACCACCAACACATCTCCCATCCTCTACCATGAGAGGTATTACAGCAAATCTGGGCCAGGACCTAAAGTATAATAATCCTTAGCCAGGGTTTATATAGATGATTTTAGTGTGAATATTTGTGTTTACCCTTGCGGATTATCACTTGTGTAGTACATTGCCAAGGGATTCATTATACAACTTGTGCCTTCATAAAGTAACTGAGCACTGGAAACCATACTTTACTGATTTCACCTCTTTTAATTATGAGTAATTATAGTAAATATGTAATAGATTTTAATGGAACAATAAAATTGTTAAGTTACAATAGTGATATAATAAAGATAATAAAAATAAACATAGCCATTAGGTATCTTTAATTTACAATGGCGTCCTGCTCAACCTCCTGAGCCACAGCCACCACAGTAATGTGAATCCCTCTAGGTAAGTAATGGCACTAAAGGGTACTTGAATTGTTCAAGATGTTTGGTACATTCACTGTCTGTCAGCACACATGTGGGTCCTGTGTTTCCCCACAAGAGAAGACAACAAGGGAGGATGAGCTGGAAATCATGAGAGGGCGTTGTGATTAAGACTGTGACGTTAAGATGCGTGTGTATAAAATGAGTTTTAGTGAGGTGAACTGTGGATGTTTCCCAACACTGACATACTCACAGACCACAACAAAGATTAACATTTCGTAACACACACACACAACACACACACACACACACACACACACACACACACTTGCTGAGGTGCAGAGCTGAATTTGAACTGTAACACACAAACATCCTCACAGGAACCACATTAAGCCTGTTTTAGGAGAATAAGTGCACAGAGATATTGTTCATTCAATAATTTATTTTGCTTATAAAGTGGTGTGTGAAAGCCCATAAGAGACTGCACCACGGAGAACATGTCAAACCTTACCAACAAAGATTATCACTTCCTCTTGAAATGTTTTCTATTTAATGGACTTTAACCATTCCATGTGAAATGTGGCAGTTAGACATAAGTAACAGCACTAGAGTAATTTTAGTAATTTTAGTAATTTTAGTAATCTTCAACCTGGTTCTTATTCTCACAATTGCAGCCATTTGGACTACAGCTATGCACACAGGGAAATGCAGGGTCTAGTAAAAAACAAACTGGGAAAGCACCTCCTTTCCGAACTTCAAGTTCAACTGAAAGTAAACACAAAAATAGACTCCTGCATAGGCTGTTATTCTTCATCTTTTCTCCTTTCGATTGCACTTACCTTTCTTAAATTTATTAGAGGGCAATAACATAAACAATCTTTTTTTGCTACTTCCATAGCATTTACAAGCTCCACAGCCTCACATGTAAAATAAATCTGGTGGGTTTTTTTTCCGTTAGCCAGTAAGTACACTTGAAGTAAGTAGACACTATGCAGTTAGCTACAATAACTAATCCAGGGGGCTAATTTCTGACATCTAATGAAGTCCAATGTCTTTCACTCTGAAAAAAGTTTTTTTCTTAGGTATTTTCTTTCTGTTTTATGTTTCTCTTTCTGTCAATTCTGACTACTTTGACCTGACAATTTTATGACTCAGTCATGGTGCTTGGACCTAAGTGAAGACTTTCCGACCGGAGGTGGACTGACCTGTGGGTTTCAAGGCCTCAGACTCAGCCAAGCAATCTGGGAACAGATCTGCTGGACTTTGACACAACAACAGTCGCACGTGCAAACACTAAGCAGACATGCCCCGCAGGCTGTGTTTGGATCCTCCGCAATCCTTTGCTCTCATGTAAATTCTCTTTCATTCAGTAGAGAGTACCTGCAGGGGAGGACAGAAGGTGGAGAAATGAGTCAAGATAACTGTGCTTTCTTGACAGAATGGGACATTCAAAAAAGCTAAACAGAAGCAAGGAAAATTGGATCTGCATATACGACATAGCAAATCTTAAAAGCAGCGTGAAGGATTTTTTTTTTGTGTGAGTTTGGAAGGAAATACACACCATCCATCTGCAGCCAAAACAAAATCTTTGGCCAGCAGCTCCACAGCAGCAATCAGCGGAAACATGGAGTTTACCCGCCTATAAAGGCTGCCAAATGCACATAAAATGTGACTGGCAACTGTGTGAGAGAGAAAGAGAAAAAGAGAGAGAGGCTTAATATTTACCTAACCCCTGACTCAATGAAAATTCCCCGTCTCTGAATGACAAACATCATAGCTACAATATAGGAAGTTTCCCACCCTGCTGTTATTTCCAACTTTCAGGTCTCCTGCCACTTCAGATTCACAGAACTGAAGTTAAATTTCAGTCGTGGTATTTAACTTATTATATACAGTAGGTGCTGATTATTTTAAGCCTTTACAACAAAGTGGGAGAATAAAAAGCACTTTGTAAATCCAATTTATAACCTCTGATTCCTCTGAAAGAAAAAACTGTGAATGGAAACAGTTAAAAGAAAGGAGCAAACAAGACTGCAGGCAAGGATATAGTCCAACAAGGGACATTTCTGTGTAAAACAATTCTTTTAGTGGTTGTGTGTTAAGTTGGAGTTCACAACTCAGATTTTTATGTGACAGAATTGAATAGAAACCAAAACGTGGTTGGGATGGCAAAATTCCTAAAATATAGTAGCAAAAAGATTAGTTTTCTTGTAAAGTGATTCATAGTAAAAGGACAAAAACACGCAAAACTACTGTGTCAGTTGACACGATTTCATCCTGTGTCCAGTAGTAGCTCTAATGAGGCAGAAGGCTGGAGGCCTCGACACGTCAGTGGAACTGATGGGATCTTTACATCTGAACATTTGACGTGTAAACGTATGACCTATTAACCACTTCTCCATACGTAAAAAGCACCATGATACTTACTCAGTGTTGATTGACCCAATCTGTCCCGCACTTCTCTGTTGATTTCCACAGGCAACCTTTTGTTTTGACTGAGACTTATCCAGAACTAAAATACCCTGAAATGATGATTCCACTTCCTTTGGAGTAACTGCTTCTAACCAGGAACGAATATCTTTGACATGACGTCCAAAAACACTCACACGCAAGCCCAATCAAAGCACACAAGCTGAATGTGTAGTTGAGTCAGACAATGAACCAGCACATTCCTCTCTGTACCTGTCCTCTCCTGTCACAACACAAGTCTTATTTCATTCATAATCATCTTCCTCTTTCCACCCAGTCTCCTGTTTTTTTATTCCCTGTAAGTATCAACTCTGACCCAATTTCACATGTGCACACAAGTCAGGCACAGGCTTTTTTTCACGACTGCGTGTTTGATAAGCAATCAGAAGTTTTGCCTTTGGTTGCAGAAATAGACGTGTCTTTGGAATGAGAGATTTCTGAGTGCCTGGAAAGTTCAAAGAGCAAAAGAGTCATTATTTTGCAGATGTGTACAAAATGACTTACTGAAATGAAAGTGGAACTCATTTTTAAAAAGCACAGGGAGTTGTCACCCATTTACAGAACCTTCTACTCCAAAGTCGTCGTAATGCTTGAATTTTTAATCAGTGCCTGATTAAAAGCCTTTTTTTTAGTTTATCTAGTTTAAAGTCAAACTGAAATTAAAATTAATTTCTGCAAAAGAAACCCCAACAACAACAAAATATAAGATACAAGTATATCGTTGGTGTTAGTTTTAACAAGCACTTACCTGGTCAAAATAAAACATATATCTTAGGCCAAATATGTTTAATAGCTGTAGCATCATTAAAGTTTCTATTTCCTTACACAAAATTTCAGAGAATTCAAATTTCAGATTGATTTTAAGAGATGAGGAGATTATTTGCAAGTAACATCTAATACATTCTGTCATATGGTCAGGTCAGTCACGGCTGGCCACAAGTGTTGTCTTTAGCAGAGTTGTTTTTCAGAAATCTACATAGTGATGTACATCTACATGTGTGCCTCGATCGCCTTCTCATGTGCCACTATAGTCATTATGACGATTGGTCACGGGGCCTCATGTGCTTAGAGAATGTGTGTATGTGTGTGCGTGTGCCAGTTGTCTCTTAGAGTGGACCGTTGAACCACAGCTGGTACTCAGTGATACAGTAAAACGGTCATGAGCAGCTGTCATTCGGAGTGAAATGAACTGTGGGAAAGTGTCTCATAGAGACAACAACCAGCCAAGTACAGTGTGTTTGTGCCAGTTATGATGTAGCAGGTTAAAACAACACACAGCAGAATGTATGTGTATATGTTTGCCTGTTTCAAAATAAGTTGAACTGATTTGTATGTGTGGACCAAATTTAAACCGTTTCCTTGTGATCAGCAACAGCAGCACAGTGAGCGTGTTGAAAAAAACTTGCTTGATGGCTTCATCTGTACTTGAAGCATAGCCGTCCCAGTAGAGCAGTTCCCAAAGGATAAAAATGGGCCTGATGCTTTTACAATTCAAGTTGAATTCAAGTTGATTCAGCCGCTGACTCCCCACCGAGATGGTAAAGTGACTGAAAACCTCCCATGGAGAGAACTTCGATTTCACAAATGGAAGGGAATTAGTAATTAATTGAGCCCAAATCTCTTCCTCCATCTCAAAACAGCCTGGAACAAAGACAGACAGGAAGCCCAAACAGATACACACAGAGACAGAATCACACTCAATGTAAATAATGCACACAAACAGCAAATGTCCCACAAACAATGACGGCCCTTTATTTCTGTATTTCAGCTCTGCTTTCATCCTCTTTTGTCTTTTCTCCCTCTTCGCTGAGGTAAGGAGCTTTTTGTGGAGTAGAAATCCTGCTCTGATTACACATGCACGATGTAGCCCACTTTTGGCGGTAGCTAATGTCTGTAAAACTGCCTCCATAAGGCTGCAAAGCTTATACTCGGCTGCACAATGAGGCTCCTCACCCTCTTTTCTTTGTTTCAGTTAAGCATGCAATATGTCACACAGACAAACACACAAGCAAACTTCTCTTGCATACTAATGTGTCATCTTGAACGCACACATATGCATTACACGCCCATCACCTATTCCCTAACATGCCAGATTATAGTAAATGAAGCACTGCTCTGATGGTGCAGAAGCTAGAAAACACTCTGCTCATGACAGTGCTTTTGACGCAGTATCAGTGACATCTCATGCACAGAGAATGAAAGATGTTCTGGTGAATCAAACACTGTTTTAGCTGCTGCACCCTCTCACATCCAGACTGTGTAAACGTTTGTCATGTTGAATCTGTGTGTGGTGAAATGGTGTTGGAAGACTGGTGTTCTTCCAGTTTTCTTCAGGAATCTGTTCTGTCAAATGCCAAATTTTCAGGATCATAAACTGATTTAGAGGGCTGTCGTGGCAGTTTGTCACACTGATTTTATTTTATTTTAACACACTGCCTTCTTTTCATCTTCCATCCCAGGCTGCACAGAATAACACAACCAGACTGTTACTAAATTAACAGTGCAATGAACTATGGTGAAATAAGTGGAGCAGTTTTAATGTGAAATAACCTGGTGATCCAGCAGGAAAACCTCCTGATATGTAGGTTACTGTAGGATGTTGTTTCTCATCTCGTCGCCCCACTTCACCACTCATCTTTCTGAGGAAGAGTCCGTCTGTGAGCCTGGATTAATATTTCACTATTGTTGTACAAGGGATTTGTGTGAGTGTGTGTGTGTATGTATTTGTGTCCATCATATATGTGTGTGTGCATGCGTGCATTTAGGTGTGCATGTGCAGAGGCTTAACTGTGTCCGTGCGTGTGTGTGTACAGATTCATCAGTGCAGCATGGTTGCATCTACTGTACTGCACGTCTGCCTGACTGCTTCTGTGAATGCCTTCATGCACTTGTATGGGTGTGTTTGCTCAAGCGTATTTGCATACATCACACTTGTGCTATTTTATTTAACCATTATCACTTTATCAAGTCAAAGGTCACTGATGTGTTCTTGGTTCTCGATAACAAGCCCTGCAGACAAACAACAAACCACACACTGACTGTTATCTTCAAACCTTGTACTGCACATAAAAGTATTCAGACGCCTTCACTTTTTGGATACTTTATTGTGTTATAGATTTCATTGATCAAATTGATGTGGGACCTGCCAGAAGGAGCACTCTGTCAATCAGACTGAGCCACTCCTGAGTAAAAGGTGTATGAGTGCAGTCCTGGAATCTGTCAAAGGGCAGTTAAAGGACTCACTTAAAGGTCAAGATTCAACCAGGTTCTGCTCATCCACTGACTAACACATCCTTATGATGAAGAATAGCGGTGCAGCATCATGCTGTGGAAGTGCTCCTGGTCAGGAATGAGGGAAGGATGAATGCTACCAAATACAGAGAGGTCCTTGAAGAAAACCTACTCCAAAGTGCACATGCATGGTTCACCCTCAGCAAGGCAATGGCCCAAAGCATACAGCCTAGTTAAGTCCAACATAGAGGAAGCTTATTAGAAACTTATTAGCTGTGTCATTCCATGAAACCGGCACTATTTGAGTCCCTCTGACCATTTTCAGTGTATTTTATCTATAGGGTCAACAAAATCTACTTTTAAAAGCTACTTATATCAATTAAAATATTTCCTTTAATATTGTGTAAAAACATCACATATATTCTGTCTTTACATCAAAAATTCTCTTGTTTTGTCAGTTGACAGCGCCTACTTTGTCATGTTCCTCATGACCTTCTATGAAAGTATACTTGGGATATAACTAATAGAATTTTAAAAAGGTCCATACATTTTACCATTTATTTAAATATTTATCTGTGCTCTTTTGCTGTTAATGGGTTTTTTCTAAATAAATTCACGACAATTCATTCAAATCACATTATTTAGCTCTGTATCTCAGTAACCCCTCAACCCCCTCACACAAATCATTCCAATCCACATAAAGATAATGAAGTGATGATTATGTGACATCAACAACAGTAAATTACATCATATAAGTCTTATAATATATATGATTTCTTAATCCCATGCAGACTATATGCTCTCCTGTTATTCACCACATTTAGAGTATAGGGGACATCTAAGGGAAAAAATCACAACCCCCGTTACTTTTTTCATCATAGCAGAGTTGTGAGATTGGGTTGTATTGTGTTTAGACACCTTGGTTGTGAAGTTGTCCAGTTATTTTAATGAGTTATTGTATTTGATCAACAGTCTTTTATACCACATGCCTATGTTAAATGTAATGATGTTTATGTGAAAGCTGCATTCTGCCTACATTTTCAGTGATAAGTCAATTTCTCTGAAACAATGTTTGATTTAATCATATCACATCATCATCAATGAGTCTATGATGGCACCAATAACAGCGGCACACACACAGGCATCTTTCTTTACCACGCTGGTAATGAAGGCTCGGAAATGACTGTATTTCTCAAGGGAAATCAAGATGGCTAATCTCCACCCATCTAGTGTATACAACTTTTGCTTTTTGTGAGTAGCCTCATCTCATTATACAACTCTGCATAGCTCCAACCCTTATTGCAAACTGAACCTAAACCCAATTCTAACATTGACTCTAGTCCAATCCAGACAAAATGTCCTCACTTTCACGTTTGGGTTAATAAAACTCAGTTCAACTTCAATTTAATCTATTGCCCATGAATGATTAAATACTTTAACGCAATGTTTATATAAAATCATACAGTGAATTTCAGTTTAAAAAACAACTATTTATATTCTACAATGTGTCCCTTCATCCCCATTACCTCTCAACCCTGTCACACCTACATTTTCTTACTAATATTTTTTCATTTTAAGAAAAAGTAATTTCATATTGGTGGATCTATGTCTAAAATGTTTAAAGCAATCATGATTTTAGTTGAAATTCTAAAGTTAAACAACATCTTTGATAAAAAATGATAAGGTTGCTGTCACAAAAAGCTTAAAGCAGAAGTATGAGATTTCATGTTGCTTTTATATTTGCAATTACTGAATTAGTGTGAGGGAAAAGGTTGATTTCATAACAAATGGACTTTATAATCATATTCAGACAACTTCCATGTCCGTAATGGGATTTTAGGACTAATAGCGCACATGTCATAAAGTAATAACAGGGATTTGATACCTGAGGTGAGAAAATATGTTTTTCTAAAAGTTAAATATGTTATTAATGTTGTCGGGGTGTTCAGAAAAGTAAAACATATCGTACCGGTTTCGTGGAATGACTCAGCTGCGTGTCAGCATCCAA